CGCGCCTCATCAGTATTATCAGCATATGCTTTAGCATAAGTACCAACAGTCAAATTCAGAAGGTTCATTATTCTTAATATTGAACTCAAACCTTCATTAAATATCCTAGCTGCAATATATGGTGAAATTTCAACTACCCTTTGTCCACAATGTGGGTCTTTTGGTGATAGTCGCCAAACTGTCGCGTTGAAACTTTCATTCGCGTTCTGCGTATGATCACCAAGGCATGGTTCAAGTAAATCGTCTTTGGACAAATCTTCATAAATTGGTGAAAGATGCTGTTTCATTTCTTTACCAAGTAATGGAGCTAAATCTACGTCTAGAGGATCTTGACCACTGGCACTTTTATTATGACTTGTACTGGCGTCAATTTTTTCACCTGATTTATCACTAAACTGATTGCCCTGATAAGGTCTTTTTTAGTGTTATTTTGTGCAATATTACTTCATTACTTCGCTTACCTTTTAGATAATTCGGCATTTTTAACTTCCCGTAGGGTAAGTTATTGTAATGGGCCGGAAATCGGAATTGAAAATTTTTACATTTCTCGACGTTTTGAAGGTTTCTGAACGTTTTGGCATACCTCAGAAAAAATGGATGTGTGTGTGTGTGTGTGTGTATGTATGTGTGGATACAAATTTCCAGTCACGTTTTAGGGATCAACCGATTTGAATGGTTCAAAAAACATCCGATTCCTATTGATAAAGAAAAGAGCTGATTAGTTTTTGGCAAAGGCAGGTCCAGCCGTTTCGGAGATACGGAGCAAAGAGTGCAGAAAATAGAAATCGTATTTTTGAGAGAACGGAGTATCCGATTTGAATGATCTAAAAAACATTCAATTAGTAATGATTGGGAGAAGTGTTTATTAGTTTTTTGGCAAAGGCAGGACCAGCCATTTTGAAGATACGGAGCTAAATATGTAAAAAATGGCAGTTTTTGAGAGAACTAAGCGTCCGATTTAAATGATTCAAAGAACTTTCTGCTTGTCTTAACAAAATAATCGATTTTGGAAAAAAAAATTTGTCCCATTTTTTTTTTTTTTTTTTTTTAGTTTTTTGTATATCGAAAATATTTATTTTTAATTCTGACTATAGTTCTAATATACTTTACAAATAATTTCAACTCTGCAATTCAGTTTATATAATATTTATAAATATTAGACAATGTTACAATATTTATAATAATCTATTTGAAAACATTCAGTAATCCTCGAACATTTCGTTACGGTACGGGAAGTTCCAGCAATTTCCCTTAAGGCACGATGCCACCCACCCCACTAGTTACGTATTGAAATGAACTGAACACTACGAATTTTCCAGCTAAACTAACTATATTTCTCGACTAACTTTTGTTCGTATACCAATATTACACATGTACTAAGGTACATAGAAGTCTTCTGGTTGTAGGACAAAAGAAGTATTTCTAGTTATTATAATGGAAGAGACCCTTTCACTTGAAATTTAACAACACGCTTGATCGCTTGACAATGTTAGCTATGACTTTGTTAAAGAATAAGAGACAAAACTAATAGAATAAGAAAATAAGAGATTTTTTTTGTTGACTCGTCAATATACGCTCAACATACTATACTTGCAGATTATCGAAGAAAAAAAAATCAATTTTTTGAAAATTTTATATGGACTTTCCCCCTTGATTAAGATTAGCATATTTCCAAAACTTCAAGCTAATTAGAGGAATAAATTCACTGGGCATACGCCTCTCCTAATTATTGTAGTAAATAATTTTGTTTATAGTAGGTTGAATAGAGCATATGTGAACAAGATTTGACAAATTAATTCACTTCAAATATGAACTTAAGTAATAATGTATATTGAATTATTAGTGAGAAAAATGTAATTTAGATATTAAAATACTAAAAGCCAGTTAAAATATGGTAGGAAATTATAAAAATTATAGGCAACATTATTGAAGCAATTATTTTGGGTAGAAAAATCCAAGGTGATATTGTACCTTTACCTTTACTTTACTACTTTATATATTTATTAACTTCCCGTAGGCCGTAGGGTAAGTTATTGTAATCGTCCAAAAATCGAAATTAAATTTTTTTACATTTCTCGACGTTTTGAAGGCTTCTGAACATTTTGGCATACCTTAGAAAAAATGGATGTGTGTGTGTGTGTGTATGTATGTATGGATACAATTTTTCAGTCACGTTTTCGGGCGCACGGATCAACCGATTTGAATGGTTCAAAAAACATCCGATTCCTATTGATAAGATGTGCTGATTAGTTTTTGGCAAAGGCAGGTCCAGTCGTTTCGGAGATACGGAGCAAAGAGTGCAGAAAATAGAAATCGAGTTTTTGAGAGATCGGAGCATCCGATTTGAATGATCCAAAAAACATTCAATGCATAATGACAGGGAAAGGGGTGATTAGTTTTCGGCAAAGGCAGGTCCAGCGGTTTCGGAGATACAGAGATAAGTGTGCAAAAAATGGCAGTTTTTGAGAGAACTAAGCGTCCGATTTGAATGATTCAAAATACTTTCAGCTTGTGTTGACAAAACAATTGCTTTTGGAAAAAAATTCATTCATTCTTTCTTTTTCTGTATATCGAAAATAATTCTGGCTAGAGTTTTAAAGCTCACTTATATGCTTTAAATGAATATTTTTGACTATGTGATTCAGTCGAGTTATAGTGATCGCAAAAAAATCGAAAATGAAATTTTTTATAAATCTTTACGTTTCAAAGGTTTCTGAATATTTTGGCATACCTTAGAAAAAATGGATGTATGTATGTATGTGTATGTGATGTATGTGCGTGTGTGTGTGTGCGGAGACAAATTTTCGTCGACGATTTAGGGAACACCGATCATCCTGTTTGAATATTTAAAAAAACATTCGATTCGTATTGATAAGGAGACGTGCTGATTAGTTTTTGGCGACGGCAGGTTTAGCCGTTCCGTAGACACGGAGCAAAAAGTGCCGAAAACGGTAACTCAGTTTTTAAGAGAACGGAGCTTCCGATTTTAATTATTCAAAAAAGATTTTACTTGTATTGACAAGGTGAAGAACTGATTAATTTTTTGGGAAGGCAGGTCCAGTGGTTATGGACTTTCAATAAAAATAATGCCTTAAGGCAAATTGCTGTCACTTCCCGTATCGTAACGTAATGTTCGAGGAAACAAGCAGAAAGTTCTTTGAATCATTTAAATCGGACGCTTAGTTCTCGCAAAAACTGCCATTTTTTATACATTTGGCTCCGTATCTTCGAAATGGCGGGGCCTGCCTTTGCCAAAAACTAATAAACACTTCTCCCAATAATTACTAATTGAATGTTTTTTAGATCATTGAAATCGGATGCTCCGTTCTCTCAAAAACTCGATTTTAATTTTGTGCACTCTTTGCTTTTTATCTCCGTAACTGCTGGACCTGCCTTTGCCAAAAACTAATCAGCACATCTCTCTATCAATAGGAATCGAATGTTTTTTGAACCATTCAAATCGGTTGATTCGTTGACTGGAAACTTGTATCCATACATACATACACACACACAATCCATTTTCCTGCGGTATGCCAAAATGTTCAGAAACCTTTAAAACGTCGAGAAATGTAAAAATTTTCAATTTAGATTTTTGTTGCATTACAATAACTTACCCTACGGGAGGTTAAAAATGTCATTTTGCGGTCAAAAATGTTTATTGGATATAATAATAATAAATGGTAGTCTGCCCGAAGGCAGGTCCATGGTGTGAGAGCCACCACAACAAATGATTTCCTTCCCCTTCATCCCATTACCACTATTCCCTATCCCAACTTTTTTTTTCATGTATTTTTCTTTCCAAACTTCTGTTTCCATTCTTCTTGATCATGTGCTTCGGCTTTCAGTTCCCTGTATTTTCTCTTCTCGCGTAAGTCGTCAATCGTCTGCATTCTTCTCCTTCCCATTCCTTTTGTTCCTTCTATTTTACCCTCGACGACGTCGTGTAGGAGGCACTCTTTTTGCGATCCAGTTTTTTTTCCTTCTCAGAATTGTGCTCAGTAGAGTCCTTTCTCCGCCCACTCTTCTCAGGACTTCTTCATTTGTTACTTTGTCTGTCCACTTTATCTTTTCCATTCGCCTCCAGCACCACATTTCAAAACTCTCGAGGTAGTTTTTATCGACCTTTCTAAGAGTCTATGTCTCCGATCCGTACAGAGCTATGCTCCATACGTAGCACTTTATTAGTCTCTTCCGTAGGTCAAGGCTCAGTTTGCTCGTCAGTAGCGTTCTCTTCTTTCTGAATGCCGCCTTGGCGCTTGCGATCCTTGTCCTGATCTCTTTCGTGCAGTATCCGCCTCTGGTTAGTATGCTTCCCAGGTATTTGAAGTGATCCACATCTTCCAATTCTCGATTTTCTACTGTTATCCTCAGGGGGTTATTTGTTTTTGAGATTCTCATCACTTTCGACTTGTCTATGTTGATTTTCATTCTTTATTTTCTACCCACTTCGACGATTATGTTCATCATATTTTGCAGCTCGGTTTGGTTTTTCGATATTACTACTAGATCATCAGCATACTTTATGGTGGTGATTCTTCTTCCTCCAATCGAAAAATCTCCTGCGCCCTCAAGTACCTCGTTGACGAGCCATTCTCCGTACAGGTTGAATAGGATCGGTGACATACAGCATCCTTGCCGCACTCCTCTGTCTATTTCAACGCTGTTTGTATCTCCCTGGTTCATTCGAACTTTTACTTTCTGACCCATATACAGATTCTGGATCACCCTGCGATCCCTCCAATCGACGTTAATAGATTTTAAAATTCCCATAAGCATACTCCAGTTGACTCTGTCAAAAGCTTTCTGCCAATCTATAAAACAGAAGCATATGTCCTCGTTAACGTCGAGACATCTGTCCGACATTATTCTCAGTATTCCAATAGCGTCCCTGGTGCCTCTTCCTTTTCTGAAACTAAACTGGTCTTTGCTCATGTGCTGCTCAATCTTATTTTCGAGTCGCCTCGTAAGAATTTTGGCCAGAACCTTTCCGGTGTGCGAAGTTAAACTGATCGTCCTGTGGTCGCTGCATTTATCGCTTTGGGCTTTTTCTGAAGAGCTATCATCGTGACATCCAAAAAGTCCTTTGGCCATTCACCCGTTCGATATATTTGATTCAACAATTTTGTCAATTTCCTTAATCCGGTGTTGCGCAGCTCTTTCAGTAGGTCCGCCGGTATGTCGTCATCTCCCGTTGCTTTCTTTCTTCTCATCTCATTTATTGCTCTCTCGACTTCGCTTTTCAATTTGCACGGTCCCTTGTCGTCTTCGCCCATTTCTTTCTCTTCTTCCATCTCGATATTATTAGGACGATTTTTTCTATCGTACAATTTCTCAACGTATTTTTCCCATACACTGAGAATTTTCTTGTGGTCACTCACTCTATTTTCATTGTCGTCTTCTATTTCGTATGTTTTTCTGCTTTTTCTGTCATTCCAGTTCATTTCCTTTGTAGCCTGAAACATTAAATAATACCTACCATGTATTTGGTGTTCCATTATCTTGTTGCACGTTTTGTCCATGTATTTCACCTTTGCTTTCTCTGTTTCTCGCCTTAATTCATTATTTATTTTTCTATACATCCTCGGATCTGTATTTTTGTACTTTCTACGCTCATCCATTTTCTTGATGATCTCCTGGGTTATCCATGGCTTTTTAGCTACCTTTTCTAGCTTTCCGACGTTGTTTTCTAGCGTTTCCAGAAGTACACTTTTTACCTCATTCAAATCTTTTTCTACTACCTCTTCCCTATCTTTTATTACGCTAAACTTCGTCTCCATTTCTCTCCTCACTACGATTTTATTGTTTCTCAGGTTTTCCAAATTCCATCTCTGTCTCCTTTTACCCATTTTGCGGATATTCTTCAGCTTTGTCTCTATATCGACCGTGAGCAGATTATGATCGGAGTCTATATCGGCCCCTGGAAAAGTCTTAACGTCTTTCACGCTATTTCTGAATCTGTTCTTGACGATGATGTAGTCAATTTGATATCGTTTGCAGTTTCCCGGGCTTTTCCAAGTATACAGCCCTGTCTTCCGCTTTTTAAACCACGTGTTTGTGATCATCAGATTATTTCTGCGGCAAAAATCGACCAGCATATTTTCTCTGTCGTTCCTTCTGCCCAATCCGTATTTTCCGACTATCTTTTCTTCTGATCCCTTTCCGACTACTGCATTAAAATCTCCCATAATCACCACGTTGACCTTTCCTTTGCCTTCCTGAGACAGCATCTCGTCTATCTGCTCGTAGATTTGTTCTACCTGCACCTCGTCGTGGCTCGATGTCGGCATGTACACCTGCACCACCATCACGTCCATCGGCTCCGCTTTCATTTTTACACTCATCAAACGATCACTCACACAGTTCACATTCAGCACACTCCTCACCGACTTGTTTCTCACCATGACTGCCACTCCTCTCTCGGATTTGTCTCTCACTGGAGTGATACATTGTGAAACCGTCCGATTCGGTTTCACCTTGTCCCTGCCATCTTACCTCGCTCAGTTCCACGACGTCCACTTTGTTCTTGACAATTTCCCTCTTGAGGTTTTCTAGTTTTCTTGCCCTCATCATTGTCCTGACGTTCCAGGTTGCTAACCTGAAAGGCAAATCGACCGCAGTTTTGTTGCTACTTTCGATGGCTTCCCCCTCCATAGCCTCCACCCGGAGATCCGAACGGGAGGTTATTACTCCGGAATATTTTACAGAAAAAGAAGTCATAATTGGAACCATTTTCTCGTAGAATGCTCTCACGCCTACTCTGGGAAGAATGTAATGTATAGTATTCCCCTTTTCCTTTCCACATCGCAGCGCCCGGACCAGCTGCACCCGTCATTCTTGTCGCGCTCCGGACTTTTTGATCTGGAGCATCATTTGCTCTGCGCCTCCAGTCAATACTGATTTTGCTGTTTCCAGCTATTCGTTGCCCACCCCCCCACGACGAGGACGTCGAGTCAGTTCGGGGAGTTATTGGATATATGTACATCAAATTATCATATATTTTACAGAGATTTTATCAATGTGTACATTCTGTGTAATTTTTTTTGGTTTCGTACCAAGATTTTTAATTACGGTACGGGAAGTTCCAGCAATTTGCCTTAAGGCACGATGCCATGCACCCCACTAGTTCTTTCTGAATTTGTTATACTTTTTAAAAGATTTCAATTTTCAACACGTGTATCTATGGCTATGGCGTGTTGAAAATTGAAATATGTTGTTCATAACAATTAATGTAAAAAAAATTATTTGTTAGTGCGTGAAAAGGTGAAAATGATTTTTCATTTCCCATTTTCTACCAGTGCGGCTTTTTTGACTACTTTTATATTAGCATCATTCGAAAGCCTGTACATTTTTCTTTTATTATTCAAAAATTCATTTAAATCTAAGTGGAAATTTGGGAGAAAAGTTGGAAAAACTTAAGCTAGTACGCGCGCTGCCGGTACAAGAACACCCATATAAAGTCGCTTTGCAAGAGCGACGAGCAGGCATAAGGCTCGTCGTTAGCGCGCGTCCCGACAAATTCTGTATATAAGTATGGAAATATTTATGAAAAACCAAAATTTATTTATATCTTGTATATAAGTATATTCATTAGTCATAATAAAAAATCCAACGCGCCGAATAAAACAATAATTATTATTATTGATTATTTTCATTCGCCGTATAAGTTCTGACTAATATATTTCAATGTATGAAAAACTTGATTAATTAATTAATTATTGTCTTAATTATTTTTCAATTATAAAAACTATATTGAAAAATATATCTATGTGAGCAATTTGTTTACACATAGAATTTCACAAATTATAATTATTGTGGTTTTCCATGGAGAATGGGTAAAATAGCAATTATTATTTTTTGAATCGATATTAGTTTTGCAAAAAATATATTTTCTTTTCTGTGCACTATTTATAACTTGACTGAAATTGCAATAATTTTACATTTTAGTGATAATTTTATCATGCTATCGAAAAATTGCAAGTATTACAATAAATATTTACATAGAAAGGGAATTAAATTGAGAAAACTGTGGATGATGCAGAATTGTATAGTAGTTACATAGAAAAAATAATTATAATTGTTTTTACTATTCGCTGAAAAAATAATAGTTGTCATTTGTATAGCCATAATTATAATTTTAACAACAGATATATTTTTTGTAATATACTTTTAATACTTAATATATTTTTAATACTTATATACTTGCGTTGAATGGCTATGAAATGATTCTGACATATATTTTTATCGATTTTTTATTTAATGATAACTATATAATATAATAACATTGCAAAAAATAAAAAAAGGCAATGAATTAAAATTAAAATACTTTTTATTGCCGGCGTAAATATATGAAAAATATTGAAATCTTAAGTTTTTCATACATTTACATATATTAGTCACAAGCTTATACCCTTTCATATTTTAATGAATGAAAAGATTTTAAGATTTTAATATTTTTCATATATTTACGTCGGCAATAAAAAGTATTTTAATTTTAATTCATTACTTTTTTCACATTTTAATTCATAATTTTTTCACATTATTTGTTATGAACAACATAGACAAGATCAGCACAAATAGAATGACGTTAGCAGTTTTTCGGTATCTCTCATATTTCCGACAAAAAGTGAGTTTGAAAAAAGGGGCCACTTTCACATGTTTTCACTGATATCTCGGCCAAATGATGAGCTACGGATTTGAAATTTGGTATTTCGAATTTTCTCGAAAATACCTATAAAATGGCATCAAAATTATTTAAATACCAGGGTGGGCCCCATTCTGTATGGAAACACGCCCAAGACCATTTGGAAAATCAATGTTTTAGTCGCGAATAAACAAAAAATCATTCATTTATACATCCACATCTACAGGTATGACTAAAAATATTGTATAACCCTTAAATGCAATAAATTAAATTGAGCTATTGGAAATATATTTGTTCTATAAATATATAATTATAGCGTATAATTTTCAATATACAATTTTATTGAACATATTTAAATAATTGTTAAAGGGATAATTAAAGTGTTAACTGTGGGAATTGAGAATAATTATTTTATTTGAAGCTGTTCTACAATTAACATCACTCATATTTTGGTGTAAATAGTAATTCGAAAAAAAAATATTTATTTTTAACTCAACGGTATAAATATTAGTATAGGATATTAAAAAAACGTAGATGTGGGTACAGAACAACGTCTGTATATATATATATATATATATATATATATATATATATATATATATATTCGATTTTATGCATAATTAAAAGCAATGAAAGTAAAAAAAAATCTTAATAGATCAAATTATATTTAATATTATATAAAGACATATTACACCGTGCAAATATTTTTATTGAAATGTTGAAGATAATACTATCAATGATACATATTTATCAGTGCTGTATTATTATAAAATATTAACTGCCATTACATCACCATGACGATACTGAAACTATAAATTTTTATTAAGATGATTTTTATCTTATCTTGAATAATTTGAACTAGCGATAATGCCACACAGCGCCAAATTGCTGCCTCTCTTTCTATAAATAAAATTATTAAACGATATACTCCGCTTTATATGAAAAAATTATGTTACAACAGAAATATGAAAATTACGTTTTTTTATAGTACTTTATTTAAAAAAATATAGAGAAGTATTCTTTTTTCCAAAAATGTAAAGAAATTAAGAATAAAAAACTTGAATTTAAATATTTAAATATTTAGTTCTTTGGCTGTCTAATGAACAGCTTTTTAAAATCAGCTAGCTTAGATTATTTAAAAAATCTAGTCTAATGACCTGCTTTTTAATTAACTTTTTATAGTAACCCGTATTTATAGTAATGCGCCGAAAATCGGAAATGAAAATTTTTGCATATCTTCTAGTTTTGAAGGTTTCTGAACATTTTGGGCGCACGGATCAACCGATTTGAATGGTTCATGATTGATAGGGAGATGTGCTGATTAGTTTTTGGCGAAGGCAGGTCCAGCCGTTACGGAGATACGGAGCTATGTACAAAAAATGGCAGTTTTTGAGAGAACTAAGATTCGAAAAACTTTCTGCTTGTGTTGACAAAACAATTGCTTTTGGGAAAATAAATTATCTATTTTATTTTTTTATTTTTTTTGTAAATCGAAAATAATTCAGATTATAATTTTAATTCTGGCTAAAGTTCTAAAGCTCATTTATATACTTTAAATAATTTTAACTTTGTAATTCAGTTTATATAATTCTTATAAATATACTTAAGACAGTATCCATATCAATCTAATTTATTTGAAAACATTTACTCTTCCTCGAACATTTCGTTACGGTGCGGGAAGTTCTAGCAATTTGCCTTAAGGCACGATGCCATACACCACTAGTTAATATTGTTATTAGTTCGCGTTGCAATTTGATTACGGCTCAATTTTAATTTTATTCAAGCTCTTTGCTTAATGACGTATGGTTTTTCGTCTATGCAGAAGGCTTTTCGATTATATACATTAAAATCAATATAATTGAAACTAGTTGAAAGTGGAATTTGCAAGGCAATTTACTGCTCGAAATGTGTAATAATTGACTTGAATAATCTAAATTGGGATATAGATATTTAGATAAAATTTTCATCTGCTTATTTCGAAAATCAAGTTTTCGCTTTCAATTAAATCTTATGAAAGCAAACTTATAAAAAAATTCTAAATATAAAAACTCAAAATTTTCAAGTATTTTTTTTTCAAAAATTTCAAAATATTCAAAAATCTCATTTTCAAAAAATCTTTAAAGTTTTCAAAAAATTCTAAAGCAATTTGCCTTATGGCACGGTGCCATGCACCACTAGTTGTTTAGAGGAAAAATGAAGTGAAATTGGCAGATAATAAATTGTACGTATTGATGGACAGTATAAAGATGCTAGTGTTATGGTATAATGTTTGGTTTACACTGAGATTGAAGAATCGTCTATAGTTTCCGATTGAAGAAGGGCAGAGCGTGTTGTGTAATTATATTTATGGGTCGATTCTACCGTAAAATGGATCAATGTTATGGCAGGGCTATGTTACGTTCATTTATTCTTGTTAACTTCCCGTAGGGTAAGTTATAGTAATCGTCCAAAAATCGAAATCAAAAATTTTTACATTTCTCGACGTTTTGAAGGTTTCTGAACATTTTGGCATACTTCAGAAAAAATGGATGTGTGTGTGTGTGTGTGTGTTTTGTATGTCCGCTTTTTTTCGTCCACGTTTTCGGGCGCACGGATCAACCGATTTGAATGGTTTAAAAAACATTCGATTCCTATTGATAGGGAGATGTGCTGATTAGTTTTTGGCAAAGGCAGGTCCAGCCGTTACGGAGATATGGAGCAAAGAGTGCAGAAAATAGAAAGCGAGTTTTTGAGGGAACGGATCAACCGATTTGAATGGTTTAAAAAACATTCGATTCCTATTGATAGGGAGATATGCTGGTTAGTTTTTGGCAAAGGTAGGCCCAGCGGTTCCGGAAATACAGAGCTAAATGTTAAAAAAATGGCAGTTTTTGAGAGAACTAAGTGTCCGATTTAAATGACTTAAAGAACTTTCTGCTTGTTTCAACAAAATAATTGATTTTGGAAAAAAAAATTTTGTGTTTATTTTTTTTTCAAAAATTTTTTTTTGTAATTTTGTATTAAAAATTCAAAAAATCACCCCAGCTAAGCACAGTCTAAGCGCCACTCTGGTACAAATGTTTACCCAAGTGCGTTTAGACTGTTTATGTATTGGGGCACTTTTCCAGTTTTGTGAAAATTATTGAAAAATGTGAAAATGCCGCCAAGCTAAGCACAGTATAAGTGAAAATGTCGCACAGAATGATTTGCAAATGCGTTTAGACTGTGACTATGCGGGAGCACTTTTTCAATTTTGTGGAAATTTGGCAACTATTTTTTTTTTGAAATTTGATTCGAAATGAAATGACGATTGTTAATGTTCTGGAGGTGATAAATTGATTTATTTATAATTAACTTTCCGTAGGGTAAGTTATAGTAATCGCACAAAAATCGAAAATGAAAATTTTTATATATCTTTACGTTTCAAAGGTTTCTGAATATATTGGCATACCTTAGAGAAAATTGATGTATGTGTGTGTATGTGTGTGTGTGTGCGTGCATTTGTGTGTGTTCAGATACAAATTTTCGTCGACGATTTCGGGAACCGGGATGAAGCAATTTGAATAATTCAAAAAACATTCGATTCGTATTGATAAGGAGACGTGCTGATTAGTTTTTGTCAAAGGCAGGTCCGTTCCGAAGATATGGGGCAAAAAGGGCCAAAAACGGTAACTCAGTTTTTAAGAGAACGGAGCGTCCGACTTGTATAATTCAAAAACATTTTACTTGCATTATCAAGATGAAGATTTGATCAAATTTTCATGAAAATAGATCTAGCGGTTTCGGAGATCTAGTAAAAAAAGTAAAAAAAAAAATAACATTTGGCGGTCAACAATAATCATTAGACATTAGACATATGCACATCAAATTATCAGATATTTTATAGAGATTTTAACAATAAGTATACATTTTGTTAACATTCCTATGGGTTCCGTACCAATGCTTATGCGTTAGACAGCGACGCGGCGCTTACGCGCTTCGATATTTAGTCTCTATGCATTAAAGCAGTACGATTGCTTTGAAAAAAAGTTCAGAATTTCCAAAATATTTCAAAATAAATTTTTCAACAAAAAGTAAGTTTTTGTCAAAAATTTATATAGTTCCTCAAAAATCTATTTTTTTCAGAGTAAATTTTTTTCAAAAATGTTAATCTTTTCAAAAAAAAAAAAAAAAATTTGGTACGGGAAGTTCCAGCAATTTGCCTTAAGGCACGATGCCATACGCCCCACTAGTTTATCTATGGTAAAGTTCCAGTTTGCATATAAAATGCTACTAAATAGTGTCAAAAAGCCATGTTTCAGGAAGTTTTAAACATAAACTGCAACTTCACTCGTATGCTATCAAGCTATATCACAGATATTCAGTTTTCTAGGTTAGTCTTTCTATTTAAAACGCCTGACTTTACAGCAACCACATCCTATAAGATTAGTTTATTTTTCGGCAGAATCGGTTCCTTAAAATCTTTACCTTCTGATGATGTAGGGCATAAACTTTGAAATTTATATATAAAATTGAAATTTGCGTGAAAAATTGGTTCAACAATAATGCAACTGCAATAGCAGGTAACTTGCATTTTGAGTAAAATGATGTAATCCTATATTATAATAATGTTTGAGTTAATCATCCTGATTAAATAATCAATTTATATTGCAAATAGCCATATGTATATACATATTTTTCTTGATTAAAGGTTTTATTAATTTTATTGTAACACTAATACCTTATATTACTGATCTATCAGTTATTTAATTATTGTCTGCATATAGTTCATTGTAGCAATTTTTACATCTATTTAATAATACAGGTATAAAGTAATACTACTATGACTTTATTCGCGCTCTGCACTTGCTAGTGTAACATGCGTACTTCTTTCTGCGTCTATTTGCAGTTTCACTACAATACGAAATGATGGTCAAATCTAAAGGTACGTGCTTGTACAATAAATGTTCACAAGCACTTTGTAGATTAGCTTATACTTTGTTATTACTATTATTATCTCTTCTAATGTTGTCACGATCGACTATGACGATTAATAATAGTATACAATAAATTGAGATTCGCACATTTAGCCGTAATAATGCGGGGATACAAAGAATGTATTATTTTTAATTTTATTGCACTAACAAAATTTGCGTTAGCGTTGTAACATTTTGTTGTTTTATTGTTTGCTAACTTTATACTGACATGCTTATGGTAGTAGTAACTTTGGTTAAGTGATGTAAAATTGAGGTATGAAAGTACAACCAGCTAAGTTTACTAAATTCCAATTAATGAACTGTATGCTGGATAGAGAAAAATACAAACAAAAAACTTTTGTTGCATTCATATGTCGTAAATCGAATGAATGAATAAGGAACCATAGTTGCCTCATAGTGGTCAATGTTATTTTCACGCGCATTCTTAGGGCGGATTCTGTCGTAAAATAGACTATTGTAATGGCAAGGCTATGTTCGTTACAATTTTTATTCAAAATGGTACTAAATATTGTGTAAATATCATGGATTTACTGTGCGATTAGGCATTTTACACATAAAATTGAACTTAGCTAATATGCAGTGTTAAAACGAAATATCGAGTACTCAGTAAATATCGATATTTTGCTCGATAAATTTGTCGGGTTTGAGTTTCTTGGAACCATTTAAACTTTAAATCAATTAATCGCTCAGAAGAGATGTTTCTCTAGGACCTAAGTCGTTCTATTGAACAAGTGTCGAAATATTATGTTGACCCGTCATTAAACTGAATATTTATTGCTTTTTAAAGGGCTTCATATTGCACTTTTATGTAAACTTGTAATGGCTTTTTAAACTTGCATGGTCGCTAAAATTATTTGTGCAAAAAATATTCAACTATTATAAAATATTATTTTACTTAACCACTTGCATCGTAATGCTTAGAATCGCCAACGACGTGGTATGCACGTCGTTATGCGATTATTAAAAAAAGAACGATGTGCATGGCTATATTACTATATTTGTCTAATTTTATTACCAATCGATGCTCTATATTCTCTTCAAAAAACTATATTAAGTACCAGGTCGATAATAAATTAGTTTAAAAATACAAATCTTTTCCCGACTTCTCTGAGACATCGAACAACACTATGTTAGTTCGAGTTACACAAGACCGTTCTAGTACACGAGTCGGTAAATTTCTTGCTAGCGCAAGTGGGTAAAAAGTATTGCATTTTGAAAATAGTATCAGACCATTATATTGTTTTGACTAAAAATACTCTACTGTTATAGCTTGTTATTTTTTATTTAGAAAAGTACCGAATATGAAATTAGCATTGAAAAATTACTCTTTCAAACATTCTAAAATATTGAAAATGATTATGATTTAACACATCAGATACAAACAACATAATTTAATGAGTTTTTGGTCTTTCTTGCACATACGTTTGATTTTGATGAAAAGTACTAAAACTTCGATAGTGGGTAGTATTGATGCTTTTGCCACGTTATTTTTTTGGACATCTATATTTTGCTTCGATATTTTTTTTAGCAGTTAGTATCGATATTGTGTCTCGATACCTCTAACGCTACTCATATGCCACACCAAACATAGTTGCAATCTAAATCGCCTGACAGCAACCACATGGCTTTTGACAGTATTTAGTACCATTTTGTATGAAAACTGCTACATAACATAGCCTTGTCATAACATTTGTCTATTTTACTGCAATATTGGTTGCTAAATCTTGAAATTATCTATTTATATTGTTTTGTACTTTTATTATTCATTTTATCTGGCATTTCGTTTTATATATAATATGTAATTTTAGTCGTGTAACTTATGCAATCAATTTTATTATTCTTTATATTCTTCATAATGCACTTTTTTTTCTTTATTATCAATCGTTACAATATAGCCTGGTCAAATTACGCATTCAAGGTTACTATAATTCATAATGGGCTGTAACTTAGCAAAATTGTTTAAAATACAATTATAAAAGAAATCTAAAAATCGCAAAAGGGTCATATTTTTGACCTTTGACTTTGTGCCATTTTTTAGCTCGCATAGGATCCATGAGGACTTTTGAGATCTTTTTTATAATTGCATTTTAAACAATTTTGCCAAGTTACAGACCGTTATAAATTATAGTAACTTTCACCCTGATTTTAGGTTTAAATTGACCGGACCAATAGCAGTCAATTTTTATATTATATTAGTACTTTTTATTTAAAGAGATATTTTTTTATTAATGGGAATATGATTAAAAATAATATACAAAATACAAATGAAAACACTAGAGTTTATGAGTCAAATATGCTGCATTTTACATTGCCAAACGTTTGAAATATCATCAAATTTAATTTTGTATCTACATTTTAGTTGCCCCACGTGCCCCCACGCCTGAAGACCATCTAGATCAGACTACTGTAATAAGGGATCCACCGTACGCTATTAGCAGTAGGTTAGATTCCCCAGGACGTTCACACAGGTAGTAGCTTCAAAACCGTCTATACTTCACCCAATGTAACAATAATATTTAAAATCGGATGTAGTTTTTAAAATTTTTGATTAAAAATCATAATAATAATATTTACAAATACCTACTTTCGCCTAGTAAAGTTCATAAAAGCAAGTAAATTTTTGTGGCATAACATTAACCAGTATTATAATAATGTTTTTTATTGATAGACCAATATCGCAATCAATCTGCTACAAAGATTGCAGCAGCATTTGTGATATCAGCAAAGGAGGTTGCTGTTGCACGCTACTAAAGATGTCGCACCACAGCGACGACCAGTTGTTGGCGGGAAGCGACTCGTTCTGGGAGCCGGGAAACTACAAGCGTACAACGAAGCGCATAGAGGACGGATACCGCCTATGCGCTGATTTACAGGCGCTTGTATCGGAAAGAGCAGAAATTGAAAAAGGCTACGGAAAAAGTCTTCGCGCCTGGGCAAAGAAATGGAATGATCTTATAGAAAAAGGTGACGATATTTAAGGTTTCATAAATTTTAAATTTTTTAATCAATAATTTTGGAGAAATTGAAGCAAACTACCTGGCTCAATGCCAGACAAAAAATCAACAGTGTACACGCACAAATTTGTACAGGGCAATTATTTCCCTCTCTTTTATTAATAACCATCAAAACATAAATAAATTCTATAATTTATTTTGATATATATTATTTACATATAATCATAGTTAGTGCTTACCCCAGTGGGTAATTACTATTATATGCAATTTATTGGATCAAGTTAATTGGTCATAATTTTTTAAGTCTTCTAAATTCTAGTGCAAGAAGCAGCGAAGCAATGAGTTGATTTGGATGGCTTTCTTATTTGTGATGGTTATTGGTCAATCTTGTTTTTCAAAAGGATTCAATGCATAGCACATTAAGATTATTGTGGAGAGTTTTATTGCTCAAGTACCATGGTGCACCTGTCGTTATTCCAAGTATTTTAGATTGTGTTCTCTGTACCAATGCTACATTTGACTTACTAGAGCAACTCTAAACCTCTATCTCATATGACCAAATAAAAATTATTATTGTTTTGTAAACCATATAGTTTCCTCACTCTGAATTTGATAGATTCAATTTGTGTTGTGATGTGATATTTACAGGTAAGTCGTTGAACAAGATGTATTCCAAGATAGTTTACTACATCGGATAAGAATTGGTATGTCTTTTAAGCGAACTCCAAAGCAAGTTTGTTTATTCAATGTAAAAGTGATATGCAGTGATTTGCTTTTATTAAAGCTGATATGCAATTTATTTATCTATTCATGAATTAAATTAAGGTGTTGTTGTAACTTATTAGATGCTATTTTTGGGCCTTTGTTACAGGATATAGTAGAAATGTCGTCAGCAAACGTAACAGTAGTAGTAATTACAGTCGTAGGTAAATAAATTGTACAAAAATGGGTTCAGTACACTACCTTGTGGCGGGTGTATTTTAGGATTGTGGCGATTCACATGAGTCATAATTTTTTTATTATATTGATAAGATGTCAGGAGGAGAAGCATGGAGATTTTGTGACACACTTTGTCAAAGCCTTGTTTGACATCTAGGAAAAAGGCAGAGCAATATTGCTTTGATTCAAAAGCTTTATTGCTTTTGATTTTATTTCTGTGACGTCGTTGAGTGGTCGAGTGCAGCTTTCGAAAGCTAAGCTGATTGGCACTTATGGCAATATATTGGATGCAAGCAGAATATCTTAAAGCAGTAGTTTTTCGAAAAATATTGATAGTATAGAAAGTAGACTGATAGGCCGATATGAGGTCATCATGCTAAGATCTTTTGTATTTATGTAGACATTTTGTATTTATTTGGCCAGTATTTTGTTCTTATAATAGCATTAAAGATGTTAGTGATAAAAATTAGTCCTCTTTTTGGCAGTTTCTTAAGCATCGCACCCTGGAGACTTTCTCTTTTTAATTTTCTTGATCTCATTTGATATACTTTTAAGCGTGAAATACTTATTTCTGCATTTTGTGTAATCAATGTTCAAATTAAAAACGGCATCATCAGTGTTATGATCAGGATCTTTTGGTTGAAATACAGAGATCAAGTGAAGACCAAAGAGGTCACTCAATCAATCTGATTGACTGTCTAATCTCAATGAAGGATTATTAATACAAGTCTTGAGTTTATTCTTAATCGGATTCCAAATAGAGTCATATGTATAAATATAAATAGAATCATATTGATTAAGATCAGACAAATAATTTTTAAAGTTGTTGTCGTTTGATTCTCTTAATTTAGATTTTAGTTTATTAATTAAATTGTTAAGAATATTCTTGCCAGTTGATAAATGAGTGTATTGCCACCTACCTCAAACATATTTTTGAATTCAGTTAGAAAATTATTAAGAAGGTTATGGTTTACTTGATCGGAATTTGAACAATTAGCTTGTTGATAACTTGTGCGTACGACATATTCTGAAAGTTAACTAATCTGTTCATCTGATATTTAGTAGCAGCAGGTGTTGTAATAACTGGATTTAAATTCTTATCTGGCGTCAAGATGTTGTCAGTTGTATTGTAATTTCTATAGTTTGGGCTCAATTCACAGTGAATTCTTATTCTTATCTGGCGTCAAGATGTTGCCAGTTGATAAATGAGTGTATTGCCACCTATCTCAAACTTATTTTTGAATTCAGTCAGAAAATTATTAAGAAGGTTATGGTTTACTTGATCGGAATTTGAACAATTAGCTTGTTGATAACTTGGGCGTACGACATATTCTGAAAGTTAACCAATCTGTTCATCTGATATTTAGTAGCAGCGGGTGTTGTAATAACTGGATTTAAATTCTTATCTGGCCTCAAGATGTTGTCAGTTGTATTGTTATTTCTATAGTTTGCGCTCAATTTACAGTATTTAGAATTTGCACTATGAGATCCTAGACATTGAAAGCCGGAAGCTTCTTGTATAATTTACTCTCAAGTCCAGAGCCGCATTTTATACAGGCGTATTTTTTGTTGCAAAAAATTATGATTTGCCCATACATTTGCCACCTTGTACACGATTTTTTATTTAAGTTAAGTAGAGGTTTGAAATGTATAATTTAGCCAATAATTTTATGATTACTAATAGGGATAAACTCTAATCGTATTATTAGAATTACATGCCAAGGACAAATATTATTACAAAACAACTGGACTGCAGTAAGTCAAAATAAACACAAAAGACCTGCAGACGTATAATACCGTACTAAAATTATCGAAAGAAAAGTGGACTGAACTTCATTCAAATCAAACATAGTCACAGCGATCGTTTAAAGTAGTAATAAGAATTTTACATCATAGCACATGATGAAACAAGAAATAAGTGAAAAAGGTCACAATGTTTTAAGAATTTACAACTTAAACATAGATACCTACTAAATAGCAAAGATATTTACTCCATTGCATTCCTTTACAAAAACTCAAAAGTAGCGTCACATGAACCTCTGTAACGTGTAAATTAAACGCAAAGTTGGCGCTTTCTACAAATCACATGGACTATTACATAGCAACACCATCAATGTGTCATCCTTATTGAGTGATGTATTACTACATGGTGCGCTATTTATATGTGGTCAATGGAAATGCTGAATAACTTGAACAATTTTCAATGAATTTTGTTTTTTTTTTAATATCAAATTTAAATTGATAAAATTTGTTCCTTAAAATAACGTCGATCAAATGACCCCCTTCATTGTGCAAACAAGACTTTACTCTTTTTTCGGCATTTTCTATGACATTTGCCAGCATCTTGACTGGCCACCAAGATCGTCTGATTTGACTGCACAGCCAAGTGTATGCCAACAAACCGAAGACTTTGGACGAGCTGAAGAACAACATTCTAGTTGAAATTCTTGCGATGTCGCGCGAGTCGCTGGCAAATGTCATGGAAAATGCTGAAAAAAGAGCGAAGTTTTGATTACACAATGAAGGTGATCGACGTTATTCAGAATAGAATCGAGTTTTTATAATTCAACTGCTTATCCTAGGCCCATAATATTTTAGTACAGTAGGAGTCCTTTAGTTCGGCTTGCTTGGGACCGATCCTAGTGACGGACTGTCAAAAATTGCGGACTGTCGAGCGATAATTATAAAAACAATTAGATTAATGAAGATCAGTACAAACAACCGGACTAAAGGACTTCTACTGTATGTTATGTCAAACTACGATATCTAGCGACATAAAAAGTTTCATAAAATATGTCAAATTTTTTTTTACATTTAATTACGAAGAAACAGCTAGGCCGATATTTAGCAGAAACTTATCAACGCGATTCCCAACCTTTCGAAAAATAAAAATATCTTTCGAAATTGACTTGAATTTTTGAAATCGGTTAAAAATTGTGGGCTAAAACGTGGACGAATAGTCCTCATCGAGATACATCGAATGGCTTTTAAATTTTTGAAATCAGTATAGCCATTGTGAGAAAACATCGAAGCAAGGTGAAAAATTGGCTCACATATACACACATACTATTCTCAAATATGGTCTCATTCGATTCAGAAACCGAACTTTTCCTTCGGGCAGTTACAAAAAAAAAACTGAAAGACATTGGTTGAGGATCGCGTTGGTTAGTTTTTGGCAAAGATAGGTCGAGTCATTTTTTCATAATTTAACGTTAAGTAACCTTTTGCCGAAGTTAATTAAATTTAACGCAGCGATAGATTTCATAACGATCATCCTAAAATGTAATAGTAGGGATCGAATAAGAAAAAACCGTTTTGTTATATAAAAATTAATTTAATTTCAGAATAATGAGCTGCGCTTTCAGGGAATACGAGCGCGAGTTTGTGCAATATAATTAATATAATTACTTGGGCCAGTACTGGCGTTCTGTAGTGACCGCTGCCCGACAATGGGCAGCCCACTGCCAGCCAGCAGTGATATACTTTGAGCATTAACACAAAACCTACCAACGTCGGTCAAATTGACCATTTCAAAGTTTGTGTACAACTTGGACATTTTTAAACGAGAAGATACCATTATCAAACTATATTACAATTCTTAGAATATACTAATAATATTTTATTCACTCTTTTATTTTAGTTATTTTTTGTATTTTCCGAAAAAAAAATTGTTATGTCACCATTTGAAAGATATTGGTTGGGAAACGTGCTAATGAGTTTTTGGTAGAGTTCGGCTGGACCGTTTTTTTGTAATAAAGTGTTAAAAAAGAATTTCGACTATTTTTATTATTATTTTTTTGACAGTAGGTACCATAGTCTTCTAGATCATACTAAAATATTACGGCCCTACGACCACTTGTTTAGCTTTAAAAATTTGCTACCGCGGTCGGTCAATTTGACCGGTGGTCAATAAAGTTATTTGGGGAATTGTTTTCGTCGAAATGTAGGTGCAGATTTATATAAAATATACTAAATGAACAAGACAAATTTAGAATAAAGTTCTGAGTGGTGTGTGAAGTCGGTAGGTTATAGTTAATTTTTTAACTCGGTGATTCATATTCAAAATCTAAAGAAAATCAAATTTTTATCGACACTCTTCATTAGTTCGGCTTTGCATGGACGAAAAACTTGTCAAATAAAATTTTGTTAAAGTTACGAAATAACAAATATATTTACTTCAAATATATATTTCAAACTGAAATAATTTGTAAACAATGTGAGAAAGCCGAATAAAGTATATTATTTATGCATATGACATACTTCGTAAATTTTGGATTTCATTAGTTTTTTTCTTATAATTTCTCTTAGAAATTATATAAAAATAAATTTAGATGAAACTTTATGAATATTCTTTTATTAACTTCCCGTAGAGTAAGTTATTGTAATCGTCCAAAAACCGAAATTGAAAATTTTTACATTTCTTCACGTTTTGAATGTTTCTGAACATTATGGCATACCTCAGAAAAAATGGATGTGTACGTGTGTGTGTATGTATGTATGGATGGATGGATACAAATTTTCGTCCACGTTTTCGGCCGCACGGATCAACCGATTTAAATGGTTCAAAAAACATTCGATTCCTATTGATGGGGAGATGTGCTGATTAGTTTTTAGAACTAAGAAACATTCAATTAGTAATGATTGGGAGAAGTGTTTTTTAGTTTTTGGCAAAGGCAGGCCAAGCCATTTCGAAGATACGGAGCTAAATGCGCCAAAAATGGCAATTTTTGAGAGAAATAAGCGTCCGATTTAAATGATTCAAAGAACTTTCTGCTTCTTTTAACATAATAATTGATTTTGGAAAAAAAATTTGTTTCCAAAAAAAATTTTTTTTGAATGTCGAAAATTTTTATTTTTTTTAATTTTTTTATTTAATCGAGAACCTCATCGAAATACATCGAGTGGCTTTTAAATTTTTGAAATCGGTCCAGCCGTTTTCGAGAAAACGTCGATTTACGGCAAAAAATCTGTTCATATACACGCACACACACACACATACACATACATACTTTTTCCAAATTTGGTCTCATTCGTTTCAGAATGGCTTGAAACGTCGAGAAAACATAAAATTAGCGAATCGGATTTTATGATTGAAACATAAACTTCTCCTTCGGGAAGTTAACTAGTTGGTATTGGTATTTTGCCTTGAGGCAAGTTACATGAACTTCCCGATATGTGTAAATAATCGACTTAATCAATAAAATATAAATTAATTTTTGAGTGATTAAAAGTATTCCAAATAGATTTATTACACATAATTGAAAACGAACGAGCACGTTAATCGGGGTATTTTCTAAAAGCAAATTTTCAAAAATCAATCATTTTTTAATTGAACCAGTTTCCGTAGGACTTTAATGATTCATTACGTTTATTAAGACCAAGTACTCTATCGTTATACCAACGCCAAAAAAACTACTCATTTTCTCAAACTTTGATGAATTTTTAAAATTAAACTACTTGTCGTAAGGCCGTAATAATTCAGTAAGTTTTATAAGACCATGGTATATATCGCCAAAAAGCGTTCCATAAAAATCGGCTTAAATTTTTTTTTCAACAGTTATTTACGGGTCAACGGCTCGGTAGATTTTCACCAAAAACTAATCAGTATCATTCCCAACTAATATCTTTCGAACAATTTTTGATTTTTTAAAATCGATTCGGTGGTATTAGCTTAAATGTGGACGAAAAGTTTCACATTTTTTCACATTTCAAAGAAACGGCTCGGCCGATCGTCGCACAAAACTGACAGGCGATAGATCTCATTGAGACACATGAAATGGTTTTTAAATTTCTGAAATCGGTTTTTTCGTTTTTGAGCAATCGTCCATGAAAGGTCTAAAAGGGACAAATGCCAAAAAAACGATACTAATTTTTGCAAACTTTGACGAATTTTTAAAGCTAAACGAGTGGTCGTAGGGCCGTAATATTTTAGTATGATCTAGAAGACTATGGTATCTACCGTCAAAAAAATAATAATAAAAATAGTCGAAATTTTTTTTAACACTTTATTACAAGAAAACGGCCCGGCCGATCTCTACCAAAAACTCATCAGCACGATTCCCAACCAATATCTTTCAAATAGTTTTTAAATTTTCAAAATCGATTCAGAACTGTGGGCTAAAACGTGGACGAATTTTTTTTCACTTTTCTGTTATTTACAAAGAAACGGCTTGGCTGATGGTCGTGCAAAATTGATAAACGCTAGTCCTCATCGCGATACATCAAATGGCTTTTAAATTTTTGAAATCGGTCAAGCCGGTTTTTGAAAACGTCGATTTACGACAAAAAATCTGTTCACACGCACGCACACACACATACTTTTTCCAAATTTGGTCTCATTATGAAACGTCGAGAAAACATAAAATTAGCGAATCCAATTTTCTGATGAATACAAACTTCTCCTTCGGGAAGTTAAATAGATATCTTTTAAATTAAAGGTGAATGTGTCCGTGAATGTGAATTAGTATTGAAAATAAACAGATTTTTATATGACACTAAATGGCCATACATATGAGAAAAAGCTAGAACCTTAGTTTTTACCTGAAACATATGTGATTATTATAAAATTTAAAATGCTGTGACGTCATTTTTGCGGGCATGCCCGCAGTTACGACGAGCTGACATTGACAGTCTGACAAGACATGCGTTAATTAGATTTTTACGAACTGTTTCTTCACAATTACCATGTTAGCGCAAAATTTCACCTAATTACTTCCTATTTCATTGATGCAGGTCCAGAATATGGCACCACTGAGGCAGCATGGAAAGGTGTTTTAGTGGAATCAGAACGGTTATGTGATGTACATATGAAAGTAAGAGATAATCTGTGTAACGACGTTGTCCAATCCCTCAAAACGTGGCAAAAGGATAATTATCACAAGGTAACTTTCAAACAAATTATTATTGAATCTAATTATTAAAGAAAAACGAAATTATGTCATTCAGAGGTAAGTTTCATTAAATTAGTATGCGCTGCAGGCATCTGATATTTTAGTTAGACGTTTAGTTTAATTTGAAAATGGGAATTACTATTCTTGATCCACAAGTACTTGTGATTCACAATAAATTTCCAATAGCACCTTGATTGATCACATTTTTAACTTTTTGATGGAGAAGTGTGTTTTGGCGAGGAAGTACGATTTGCTAATTTTATGTCATCTCGACATTTCAAGTCTTTCTGAAACGAATAACACCAAATTTAGTAAACGTACGTGTTCGTGCGTGTGTGTGGGAGAGATAGAGATGATTTTTGACCTTTTGTCGACGTTTTCTAAAAAACGGCTGAATTGATTACAAAAATTTAAATGCCATTTAATATGACCCGATTAGGACTATTGTTGGTCAGTTTTGCGCTTTGCTTTGCAATTAGCAAAAAAGTTTTTTTTTTATTAACTTCCCGTAGGGTAAGTTATTGTAATGGGCCGAAAATCGAAATTGAAAATTTTCACATTTCTCGACGTTTTGGAGGTTTCTGAACATTTTGGCATACCTCAGAAAAAATGGATGTGTGTGTGTATGTGTGTAAGGATACAATTTTTCGATCACGTTTTCGGGCGCACGGATCAACCGATTTAAATGGTTAAAAAAACATTCGATTCTTATTGATAGGGAGATGTGCTGATTAGTTTTTGGCAAAGGCAGGCCCAGGCATTTCGAAGATACGGAGCTAAATGTGCAAAAAATGGCAGTTTTTGAGTGAACTAAGCGCCCGACTAACTGCTTGTCTTAAAAAAATAATTGATTTTGGAAAAAAAACTTTGTTTCAACTTTTTTTTTTCATTTTTTTTTTCAAAAAACAAATTTCTTGTATATCGAGAATAATTCAGATTTTATTTTTAATACTGACTATAGTCAGTTCTCGTCGAACCCTCTACCCGAATGGACGTGTCACGCGAGCTCTCGAGCAAATAATTTATTGTGTAGTCATCCATAAACCACGGTTATACATGTGTAGTGATCCATAATCATTCTTATTATTTTTTATAATTTTATTTTAAACGTATTGGTGATATCAGTCGTGTTAAAATAAGTGCGTTATATGTTAAAATGAGTCAATGCAATCAAGAGAGTTTGCTCAACCCAACGGCCGACCACCAGACGTAAGTTTGGTTAGCTGTTCAACTGTTGGCGAATCAATTGCGCAAGCAATGAACACTGTGAATCACAAGGAATATGACAATATTAATAGTGAAATGGACCTAAGTGACTACTCAAGTGAAAGAATTAACATAAAAACAATTAGGAGGCACAACTAGTGTGAAATTTCAAAATATCTAATTTTCAATTTTTCCATATTTCAATAGGTTATACCTTTAAAAATAACATACCAAAATTTTAAATCGATATCTTAAATAGTTTTTGAGTTACAGCCATTTAAAGAGTATATATATAGTATATAGTATAACGATCATTTAATCTTTAAACGCGTTTTTCTCGAAACAGCATTTTCCGAATTTGCTGCAGCGATTACTCAAAAACGAATGATCCGATCACTATCAAATTTTTTTTACATGTTCTATATATAGTTCTCTGTAAAATGATCTATCGATTTTTTGATCGGATCAAAAATCGAATTTTGGCAGTCGAAAAACGACCAAAATTTTGGGTAAAATTAGACTTTTTTTTAAAAACGCCGTAATTTTGTCAATTTTTGATTTTTTTCTTTATCGTAGTTCATTTTACAGACAATATTATCTAGTTTAAGGAGATTTTTTTTTTTAAATTTCATCCACGTAGTAGGCCGGAATCACTGCAGCAGTGAAGGGCCTTTTTTTGTAGCGCCGATGGAGATCGACGATAACTTAAAAAATATTTAATTTTTTTCTTCAAAAAATTTACTATGTATTCTTAAAACATGTATAAATATATTCCAGTACATGTATAAGTTTTGAAATGATTGATAAAGTAGTTTTTTTAATATAAATTCCCAAAAATCACCTTTTTTTTAGGCGGTTACACTAGTTGTGCCCCTTAAAAATGTCAGTGACCCAGTGCATATAAATACCGCCAGTAAGGATTGCACGGCGTATCAACACATTAACAATAACGTCAATCAGAACACCGAAGTACACACAACTCCTGAACCAATCAATAGAAATTTGAATGTTGTTGATCAAGGCCAGGGGTGGACAACCGTTACAAATAAAAGAAGACAGGAAAATTACTGCAACGAAGCAACAACGAAAAAGGTTACCTTGAAAGACTACTGGTTAAACTCAGTGCCCATAAAGAATTATTATGACACTCTGCAATACGCGCCTTCTAGTGTTGAACCAGTAGAAAAGACAATTAATCCACCACCAAATTTTGTCTACGGTGTTGACGATATCAAGCCTCTCATCGAATTATTAGAATTACACGCCAAGGACAAATATCATTACAAAACAACTGGACTGCAGTAAGTCAACAGTCAAAGTAAACACAAAGGATCCACAGACGTATAACACCGTACTAAAACATTTGAAAGAAAAAGGAACTGAACTACATTCATATCAAACAAAGTCACAGCGATCTTTCAAAGTTGTAATAAAAAATTTACATCATAGCACTGATGTAGACATGCTAAAACAAGAAATAAGTGAAAAGGGTCACAATGTTTTAAGAATTCAAAACTTAAAACATAGATACACAGGATACCCAATAAATATCTTTGTGGTGGAATTGGAACAACAGAAAAATAACAAAGATATTTACTCCATTGACTTTCTTTACAGAACTAAGGTTTCTATAGAAGCAAAGAGACCTTCTCGAGAAGTGCCACAATGTACAAGATGCCAGAGTTTAGGGCACACAAAAAATTACTGTACACGCACAGCGCGTTGTGTAAAATGCGCAGGAAAACACTTTACTAAAGACTGTTCGTGGAGAGATCCCGTCAACCAAAACGTAAAATGCGCACTTTGTGGAGGAAACCATCCCTCAAGCTATAAAGGATGTGCTATTTATCAACAAGAAAAACATCGTAAATTTCCACCATTAAGAAGAAGGTGACTCCCCTCAAAAATCCTATTAATACGAGCCACCCCTTCGTACGTGCAAACGTCTCCTTCTCAGAAATAACAAGAAACTCACAAAAATAGATAATAATTTTACATGCCAACAAGACTATTAAGAACAACCTACAAACCATCAACAAGCCCATCAACAAAGTGACATACATGAATTAAAAAATATGATGAAAACGTTAAAGAACCAAATGGGCACTCTGCTCAATCTAATCACAAGTCTTTTAGTGAATAAAAAATAACGGCTTTCGATTATTAATTGTGCACATGGAACGCCAACGGTCTAGCTCAACATCACCAAGAGCTCAAACAATTTCTTCTAAGCAATGACATTGATATAATGCTAATTTCAGAAACTTATTTTACGAGCAGAAATTATTTTAATCCTATATCAATTACAGCACCAGGCATCCTGACGATGGAGCACACGGAGGATCAGCCATTTTAATAAAATCAAAAATCAAGCATTATCTAATGGAACCTATCTGTAATGATTTCCTGCAAGCAACCATCATTTCTGTAGAATTTCCTCAAAGTAATATTATAATTGCATCAGTCTACTGCCCGCCTAAACACAAGGTACTAAAACGAGACTTTGAAATGTTTTTCGACGGTCTTGGAAATATATACATAATAGCAGGGGACTATAATGCCAAGCATACTCACTGGGGTTCAAGACTATGCAATCCCAGAGGACGAGAACTCTACAACTTAATTAACTCCAACAACTCAACACCAATATCGACAGAGGAACCTATCTACTGGCCAAGCGACATGCATAAAAAACCAGATTTACTAGATTTCTTCATTTGCAAAGGTATTTCAGAAAGATACTTGAAAGCCTACTCAAGCTTGGACTTGTGTTCAGATCACTCTCCGGTAATTGTATCTTTTAGCAATACTGAACCAATCTGTAACCTCAACCTTCACCTTACAAATAAGTATATCAATTGGAGCAAATTTGGAGATATTCTGGACAATAATTTGGAATGCAACTTACCACTAAAATCTGAAAGAGATATTGACTTTGCAGTGAACTTTTTTAATGACTCACTCTATATCGCCACACAAAACTCCACTCCATCAATCGAAAACAACTTTTCTTTTAATTGTCCAACTTCAATCAAACGGCAAATTGCAATAAAAAGAAGACTAAGGAAAATCTGGCAAACCACACGATCACCGGTAGATAAATCCAATCTTAACAGAGCCTGCAAAGAGTTGAAACTCATGCTCCGGAACTTTAACAACCAAGTTTTTGAAGAGAAATCAAAACACTTAACTTCTACCAAAGAAACTAACTACTCACTTTGGAAAGTCGCAAAGAAATTTAAACAACTAGTCGCTCAAAAGGTACCAATTAAAAAAGCCAACAACTCCTGGGCCATGAGGATAAGGTCAATTACTTTGCCGACTATTTTGAAGAAGTTATTCAATGTCCGCCCCAAAAATGCAGTTCTCAAGAAGAATTTATTTACCATGGGCTTCGTAACATGTCTTCAGGACCACAAGCTCCGACAATTCGCTTCTCCCCATCAGAAGTCAAGAAAGAAATAATAAAATCCAAATCAGGTAAATCACCAGGATACGACAAGATCTCGATGCAAATGCTGAAACACCTTTTACCAAAGTCTATAAGGTTTCTGACAATTCTATACAATTCGATATGTAGACTTCAAATTTTTCCTCAATCTTGGAAAAGAGCTAGGATTATCTTGATTCCAAAACTTGGCAAAGATCCATCCTATACAACATCATACAGACCAATAAGTCTTTTACCCCTCCTTTCCAAAATACTCGAAAGATTGCTGCTTAAAAGTATTCTTGTCACATTGAGCAATAATAATACAATTCCTTGTCATCAGTTCGGTTTTAGA